ACTGGTATCGAATGTATAGCATTAAATCATTTATTAACCGCCATAATGGTTCAAAAATCAAAAGTAATCGAATGGTCGAATGGTATCAAAGAATAATTCTTTTCTAGAAAAATTATTTGCGTGCATGGTAGAAAATTTGTTTATTAAATTCGGTCATCATACTAAAGTCTATACTTTATACGACTGTATTTGTTATTTCCATGAACCAGAAACTACAGTCCACAATACAATAGTGTCAATAGGTTTATAATAAACCTCTTTATCATAAATTATGTATACCGAGTTCATTTTTAGCCATGGAAATAGTAAAAAGTATTGCACAAAATATACAATATGTTTAGATTTACTGATTTATATACCGATTAGATGAAATATAAATTACAAATAATGATATAGGTACCTGGCGGAAACAATTAAAAATTTGTTTACATACAGCATTTTTATCTGTGGTTCATGAACCATAACTAGTTTTAGTTAAATATTAGTAAAATGGCATATTTTAAGATATACTAACATTTTGAATTCATTCTTAACTTGGAGAAAGAAAACTTTAAAATATAAAAATAATTTTTCATTCGATACTTATTCAAATAGGTCGTTATCATATTTTATTGTTATCAATATTTTAATTATCTATGTTATGATGTATCTATCGATGTTATCTACATCATGCATGTAACGTGGCGGCGACATTACATTATTATCAATCACACTATCTCGTATTCTCGTGTATTTGGGTAGTGGAGGTTTTCTAAACAATTAAATCATTTTGTTAATGAAATCCTTTAAAAATCATAGTGATAATTCGAAAGTTGCCAACGTGTTTCGTGCTAATACAGTGTAAAATTAATCTAACATCTAATTCAATCCGTGGTCATTTTTGCGTTTCAAGATTGGTCGATAAAAAGCTCGTGTTTTCCACTCCAACAGCAACAACTGATTCTAGACTTGTAAATCAAGTCAATCAATGTAGATCGTTTTCATATTTTATTGTTATCAATATTTTAATTATATTTGTTACGATGATCGGACTAAGTAAAAGGATCAATATTTTTTTTTTGATACTCATACCGATTGTTACGTTTCGTTATTTTCATTCCATTCGTTACCAAGTGAAAGTATCAATACTTTTCTTTCGATATCATGTCTCTACCTGTAAAACCATAGATAATAGTTAGATACTTCTTTGACTGTAGAAAATAATTTTTTTATAGATAATACATTACATGCTTTTATTAAAGTTAGATTTAGGCGGTGCGATTCACAATGAGTGTATATTGCCTTTGGTTGCAAATTTAAGATTCTAGCTTGAATTCCGCGGTATTTACCAGACATATTTGCTCCACCATCATATCCCTGCCCTCGTAAAAATTCCAAACTTAAACCAATTTCTTTTAATTTTTGGACGATTGTATTTGCTAAATTTTCACCAGTACATTCATAAACCGGAACAAAGCAAATAAAATTTTCTTTTATCAAGCATGATTTTAAATCAACATATCTAATCGATAAACTCATTTGCTCAATGTGTGATAAATCAGAAGTTTCATCACATAAAATTGAAAATAATTTACATTCATTCACCTCTTTTATTAATTTGTCTGTGATAATCAAGCCACATATATCGATCAAATTATTTTGAATAGTTTTACTAACAAATGTTGCATTTTTTTGGAGCCGATTCTAAGTGATTGCGAACATCTACATCGCCAGCGTCTTTTCTGAACATCAACAATTCTTTGAATATTCCAATATTAAAATTATTTTTTGCTTGGTCATTTGAAATCAGATTTGATAAATTAACATCGTCTCTATGCCTCCTTATAGATATATTATGACGACCACAGAAAATAATTGTTTTAATTATAGGAATTAACTTCTTTTTATTTTGTTTGACAGTTTCATTTAGTTGGTCATCAAGTTGAATTTCTATTGTTTTTTGTTTGCCTTCAAAACATTTTATAAATTCTAAAGATCGCACAATTGCTGTTTTATGATATTCTCTTTCCATATGTATCTTAAAATCGTGTAAAGGATCTTTGTATTTTATCATAGGAATTTCTTTTAAGACCCCAAGCCTTTGTCCTCCAATCCCACCAAACTTTGGTCCAAAAAGTACACATACTTTACAAAACGCTCCTTCTCTATTACGACTATAAGCTAACCAGTTGTGCTTATTTAGCCATTCAATTTGAAAGCTTCTTTTATGACCTTTTTTATTCATACTTACAGGGAAAATATAATTTTGTTTAGGTGACCACGTTTCTTTTAAATATTTGTAAAGCATATTTGGATCGTTTCGAATTTTTAGATTTGCATTTTCTTCAATAGCAAATGCGATATCATATTGACTGTTAGAATCGACTTCACACCAATCAGAAAATGTAGCTGGCTCTGACTCTGTTGGTAACACGCTTACATTTTCTATACCTTCACTTGGAGATGGATTATTTTCGTCACTTGTTTTCAACTTTTTAAAAAAAAAGTTTATTTCACTTTGTCGTTTTTGTGACATTTTAAAACAGAATAATTGAACACGAAACTACAAACGAAAACACTACGGACAACAGCAGTACAGACGAGTACAGTACGAAATACGAATTACACACGAGTGACACGACGACTGTAAAATTACTAACATTTTAAAACGATAATAGCAATATAGAAATGGATTAGTGAGAATCGTCTTACAAATAAAATAAGTTAAGATAGCGATGGCCAGTAGGAACGATACATGGCGAAAATAGCCGGTCTGCCGTCTGCGTTAAGGCGAAATGCCTTTATACCCGCATAATAAAAGTAATAGTAATATGTTTGGGAGAATTTTTTATATAATGATAATTTAATAATAATATAAAATATATGTAATGATAATTTTTCTTAAATTATAATATGTTGAGCATAATATGTGTTTGAGCGAAAAAATATAAAAGACAAAATTATAAAAATTAATAATAAAAAATAATAAAACCTTACTTATGCCAATGGGGAGGGGCCGAGGCCCTACGGGCCTCCCCCTTAAATCCGCCACTGAATACTCACAAATGAAATGATACGTTGCCTGTATTATCCTTAGAGGATACATGACAAACAATGCAAGTACGAACCATAGCTTGAAGACAAATGATAATTCGTACAAAATCGGGAATACTTCAATATGTAAAAATGTTAAATAATTTTAAAATATAATGCGTTAACAATAAAAATATTTGTTATCATCGTAGATATCTTCTATTATCATTATGAAATAAAACTAATGATAAAACCCCTTGCTAAAGTGAGTGCACTATATAAAAGCAGTCTATCTCTCATCCACATTCCGGACCGCGACCCCTTGTATTGTTAATATATGATTGGCCTATCCATTCTTCTATTATCTATGGTCCTAAGTCTGTATGAAGTGGGAAGGAATTTGTGTTGTAAAAAACCGGAGCAATTTGGGAATTAACATTTTTAAAAAACGGGAACCGTTTAGGAAAAACGAGAGCCGAATGGGCTATGCCCCCGAGTATAGGTATTTTCATATCTGGCTATTTATATTTCCGTTATGTGACTGTATAAGCATAGTTTATTTGTACTAGTAATAATGGTATCTGAAGTAAAATAATAGACATGAAATATTTTATTTTTAGAAGTTTTCTATTTTAAAGATTTAATATTTAATATTTTATTTATTTTTTTTTTTTATAAAAAAAACTAAATAGAGTTTGAAGAGAAGGGTATAGACCAAATATTGTTGGTTCCTTAGTAGAGTGATGGGGGGGGGGGCAGAGTGATTAAGCCTAGGGGCGCCAAAACGCTAAATCCGCCACTGTATGAACGAAGGGGTATTTCATACTTAGTTTACGTATTTCATGGCGAAAAATAGTAATAGCAATAATAATTAATAACATAAAGGTATATATCATCTGTTTGCACAATAATATGAGCAAAGTTCAATCATTATCAAGGATCGAGATAATATTATTAATTATAACAACAGACCACCATGGCGCCATATATAAGTACCTCCTACCTTTAACTTTTATGTTTCCACGTGTTCCAAACTGAAAAAAATTGTCCTATTTTCTGACGGTCCATACTTAGAAGGTGTACCCAGTACCTTCGTTTTACTTTCGGTCAGTGGCGTATCCAAGGGTGGGGTTAGGGGGTTATAACCCCCCTCAAAAATGTTTAATGTATGTATATTGTTTATTGATTATAATAAAAACACACAAAATTCAAAAAAATTGAATGTTACATTTTTTATAACCCCTCCCAAAAAAAAATTCTGAATACGCCACTGCTTTAGGTGGATCTAATAAACCTAATGCTTCAACTGCTGAAACAACTTTTATTTTTATTTTTTTATTCATTATAGCTATTTAAATTTATTAGGTATAAATAAAGAAATAATTAGAATATAATATGTTTAAAAAATATAAGTGCCTTATCTAACAACAAATAGCACAGAGACAATATGGAATGATGGATATTTTTGGTACTTGACAACTAGCGGCGGTAGTACGAATGCAGTAACGAGAACGTTTTCAAAAACTAAAATGCATGGATGTGACATGGTTAAAACCGTTCGGTCAAAACCCATCCGTTCCAACCAGACCCGCCAAAACGCAAGGTAGGCGAGGCACTAAGACAGTGGCCGGAAACCGGAAGCTCGTGAGCCGCATCCGGCACACATTAAATTCCAAAAACACATTGAATATCATATCAATTTTTTGTATTGTCTGGCCTGTGAACCCTTTTCAATTTGAGAATGTGTCCCAAGGGTCCAAAAAGGTGGGTGATCACTGGTCTGAAACATATAATATTCTAGATTGGAATTTTTATTATCATTTATTCTATCTATTATTTTAGTTTCTATTTATCTACTTTTTAATATATTGATTATTATTTATTTGATATACATACTATAAATTTAATGATTTACTGTAGTTTTATTAAAAATAAATTTAATAAATATTTATGAATATTATTTTATTTAATTAAATATTTTTTACCTTTAGAACCTAACACGGAATTTAGACATTCGACATTAATGCCAACGTAATACCGTATATGTAGGTATATTATATAATATGTACCTACGCCATTTAACGTTTAAAGTAGGAACATTATTCATTAATTTTTGCTATATTTTCATATATATATACATGTTGAATGAAATAACACGTGATTAAAATAAAAATTAATAATAGATAGATGGTGTAAGGTAGTGTAACTAAACATTATTTAACACGTTTTGAGAAAACAAATTAATTATAATTTAAATTCTAGGCAAATTGAAATTTTTTTTTCATTTTAGTCCAATTCAAAGGTCTAGGCTTTAGACATCAATGAATATGATAAAAGTTAAAAAGGTGGTTAAAAGGTGAAAAAATTAAAGTCCATTAATAACATTTTTCGAGCATTTTAACATGGATGATGAGTATAATACGGTTTAATATCACTGAATAAAAAAATAAATCATCTAAAATTAAATATTCATACTTGTGTTTTGTATTATTTTGCTGTTAAATTTAACATTTAAATTGTAATTAATACTAGTAAGTATTGATGATAGTGTTATACTCATCCAAGTATATTTATACGTTTAAGGAGAACTACATGTTAATCCGACCCGCATGCATATCAAATAGTTTATATCCTTGCCCTTCAAAGTTAAGTGTAGATTAGGTTTAATTTATTTAATGTGAGAAATTATTACATAGGCCGGGTTGCATAAACGTCCTGTAACTACTTACAGATTTGTAAGTACGTTAACGGATCCGTAGATAAAATTAAGTGTTGCTTGAACGCTCGGTAAAGTTACCAGCTCTGAAAATTATCGGCTACTGGACCTGTAAACTGCAGATCTGATTTGGGCTCTATAACTAGTTACAGATCGGTTAAAATAATATAATATTATTATTATGATAATATAAACACGTTTTATTATCAATATTATCAATACTCAATTTATATTATATATTTTTTGGTTTTTGCGATTATTAAAGAATAAAAATTATTTTTAAGTTGATATGCCTACGCGGCTACGCACAATTTTTTTCAAATTTATTTGGTTAATATTTCTTTATCAAATAGGTCTTTATGCAACTCGAGAATAGCTTACACAATCATTAAAAACCTTACAGAGCCGGTAAATTACTGGGCTGGTAACAAATTTACAGACTCTTCTTTATGCAACCCGTCCATAGAATATAAAATACGTGCCTAATAGATGGTATTGACAGTTTCAAATTTCCCGAAAACACAGTTTAAATTGCATAGACATTTTAATTATTCTTATATCTTAAAATATGGTTAGGTAGGTATATTATACAATTTGAAATGTTAAAAATATTGAACAAGACAAGTTTATACGCAGGACCGGCTCAAGGGGTAGGCGATATAGGCCCACGCCTAGGACGGCATTTTTCTTGGACAATTTTTATGTATAAAAAAAAATATCTGATAAAATATTTACACGTAAGAGGCGGCAAAAACTAAATTCCGCCTATGTTTGTTTTAACACTTGAGACCGGCCTGTTTTTACGTTTAAATATAGGCGTGCACAGATTTTTGGTTCCGGTGGTGTACACTAAAAATTAGGGTTCACAATATCAAAACAAACTGCCAAAACTGATGACCAAAAATAATAAAAAATAACTATTAACTATATATACTATATACTATATATAACTACAGGGACGGACGCAGAAAAAAATTTTGAGGGGGTTTGGAAAAAATAAGAACAATTACAGTCAGGCCTGTATTTAAAAATTTGGCGCCCCCAGGCATATAATTTATGCCCCCCCCCCCAAAAAAAAAAAAAAAATAATAATAATATAACACTTATTATTTCGTCCATAATCGAGATTTTTTAATATTAAAATATAACTTATAAATGAAAATCGTTTAATACTTTTTTTAATTAACAAATAAAACAAATTATAATATAATAAAACAAATCTTATATTTTATATCTTTTTTTTACTGTTTTATTTATTTTTTTCATTTGGTACATCATTTTTAAAATTAATTTTGCTAAAATATTTTGCAGCCCCTGAGATTTGACGACCCCGGACATATGCCTAACCGTGCCCCTCTAAATACGGGCCTGATTACCGTTATTTTGAAATAATTGACTATTGACTATTATCGATCATTATCACATAACCATACAACACAAAATTTAAGGAAACCGTCAATCAATAATGTATCATTGTAAATAATATTATATCGATTACGTATATTTACTTATTTTTACTTACCTACTGATAACAAGCGACTTACAAACACGCATTATTTTTACGAAGTATTGCCATCATGGAATTTCAAAAATTTGAGTTTTAAGTACCAATACCTTTTAGAACGTTTGGAAAAATACAAAATATTACAAATTTACTTTTCTTAACAAAACATTTTTTTTTAGCATATTTTAATCGTATTTTGAACAATTCATTTTTTTAAGGTACATAAAGTAGGATAACTAAGTTTGAAATTAATCATCCATTCATTGGGGGGGGGGTTGAACTCCCAAAACCCCTCCCTGCGTCCGCCACTGTATAACTATAACCAGTGGTGGAGCTACATATAAATAAAAGTGTGATTTAACTCGGACCTCAGCATAAGAGGTGTCTCAAAACGATTTAACTTAAAAAATTATGAACATTAAAATTTAAAAAATTTAACTAAAAACCTCATAAAACTTTATTT